TCAGTCTCTATACCCTACCGATAAATGGTGCGTACCATCAGTCCCGCCGAGCAAGCGAGTTCGGCCACTTGTTTAGCGGTATCTATAATGCTTCCCCCATCTATCAGAGGCTTTAGAGACTATTGTTGGGCGGGAAATGTCCTGGAATTTGGCTCAGTGATCCCCTTTGGGGATATGAGGTTCTTTTACGTGTCATAAAGTTACGACATGGGACATGCACGCACTGTTACACATATAAAGTCTTCTAAATCACACTTGACATCCTCACAGGCAGCCTTCTGTATTCCTGGTCCCACTTTGCTTGCTTCCGCCACTCTCAACTACTCTTAACTGCCTCAACACTGATGAATACTCTCATTATCTAGCTTCTGCAATGACCTTACAGAAGACAGCCTATATCGTTGGAAAGTATTTACTGCATGACTGCCCAGCAACAAACTCCATAGAAACCAGTTACGTGATAGCTACCACTGTTGCATGATGTCACAACCTAGAGGGGAGGGGTGCTTACTGAGTGTTGCGTAGCGATGAGATGGGTGGGGGTATGTAACTTCACAGCTGTCGCTTAGCAACATGCTGATATAAACTGCAACTCTCACACTGTGCATGTGCCCCGAGGCCTCTGTGGCTCAACAGTTTCTGCATAGAGCAAATATGCCACTATATGTTACAATGCTCTGTGGTAGATAGATGGGTTCAATCTGATCATATTTTGTTAATACACTCATGTCCACAAACACTTCCATTTGGCATTAAGGGCCACAAAAGTTTCCGATAGAATGTATAAGTTTTAAGGGATGTTATCATTGTTTTACGTTATAAAAGTTGCTCATAGTGGCCGCTGACTTCTCTGTATGTTCTGCACCACCTGGCCATGTTATGCTGAACTCTGAAAAATTCCAGACACTTCCCACATGTTTCCAGCTGCTACTGCAATTCTTGCCACAAGATCATGTTCTGCTTCCATTCGAGACAAGTCAGTGGAGTGAGGGCGTCACGTTCTTGGGCCTCCACGTCCAATCCATCCATTGCCAAAAGTTTCATCCAAATACTCACGGATGACATTAGAGCAGTGTGACGGGGTGCCATCATGCTGGAAACACATTTCATGACGGACTTCCAAATGCACCGCTTCCAGCAGCTTGGGTAAGGTCTCTTGGAGAAATGTTAGGTAAATGTGACCAGTAAGCCGCAGAGGTAAGGGCATCCTCCTTCACATTTCAGAGGACCTACAGCGTCAAGAAAGCGTATCCAGACATGGGTGTATCAACGAAATATGATCACATTGAACCCATCTATCTGCCACAGGGCATGGTAACATATTTATTTACAACCGGTATATATATATAACTTTGCATGTTCCAATCACATTCACGTTCTCTATATGGCCTAACCATAAGGTCATGTAAGGAATATGGAAGTAAAGCTCTATGCATTCCACACGACTGGTCAGGTTCACGTTTTTGGCTGATTAAGGGAAACCTCCCCAATACCTATGCCATGGGTTGCTGGGCCTAAAAGACAGTTTAGACATTACAGCATAATAACATACATAACTAAAGTCATAATTATTAATTTATAACTTTTACTTACAAGTCTACCCCTCCAATGTCCTCAGATATTTCAGCAATTTATACCTTTTATTAACAAATGTAGGGGTAGTCAACTAAAGATGCTGTTTCTGCTGAGCTATACGATCATGAATTAAAATAATGTTAAGCTGTTCACATATTTACAGAAAACTAATCCAGAGCTGGGCAATAAAGCACATGTCAAGTATATTTTCTTTTTTTTAGGGGGGGGGGAGGAGAGCAAGGGAAAAAGAAATGTTATCAGTTTCTTCCATAACATCATTTATACAGTAGCCAAATCCTGAACAAAAATTGAAGTTTGTGCACATGTTTTATATGGAGTAGAATAAGACAAATCTCAAACATAATTATAATAAATCACGCTCCAACACAGCACACATTCAGGGGCATTTTGAGCTTGCATCTAAATTCATACACAACTGCAATCTCAGTTTTATACAGAGTTATTACATGTGAAGTATCGACTTTTAAAATCAGACTACTAGTCAATGAAGATTACTGTTTTCTGGGATTTGACAATGTGTAATCTGGTAAATCATTACCAGTGTTTTAGAGGAACACAACACATCTCCATCTTCAGCGTAAAAAGAGTATCCAAAACATTCAAAATTAGCACACATATACAGAGATGCAAGAACCAGATTGGGATTCTGAGTGAACCAATAAGAATAGGAAAATAATGTAATATTATTCTCCTTACACTTACTGGTTTGTTCAACGGCCCCCCTCCTTCTCCTACTATTGCACTCTGAAGAACAGGCCGTGGTGCAAATTTTTGATGAATATTACTGCTTTAACTACTTTGGGGAAGAGGCATATTGCTCCAAAATATCGGTAATGATCTATACGACAATGCATCACATTCCAGAAGTCAGTAATTTTCACAGTCATTGCCATGACAATTTCAAATTTTACCCAAGCCTATAGTCTTACACAAGTTATATCAGTATAATTATTTTTCAGGTTAGAGAACATTATTTTGTTGCAGTTTTAATAAGAATATAACTGATGTAAAGGAATTTGTACATTCAAAATTATTTTTAAAAGCCTATACCCAGTTTGTAATAACACTGTACATCCAGATTGGGCACATCATATATTATAAAGCGAATAACATGATTCTGAAGGTGCAAATTACACATTTTGATTGTAGGCTGACATCCTTGGCAGAATCATAACATACTAAGTCCATAACATGAACATAAAGAGCATTAAATACTCGTATCATTCACACATCATTCTTTTCTTTCAAGTGTAAAGAGTGTTCAAAAGTTTTAACAGGTACTTCCCAATTATGAATCTCTGGTTCAATACCTTATCCAAGTAGAGAGGCCTCTCTGTTTAACAGAAGCCATATTTTGTACCTTCTTAAATATTCCAAAGTATAAAAAGAATCTTTCATGAAGAAACATGACTGAAACCTGCATGCCAAGCTATATATACTCACCCAGAGCGCACTCTGATGCGTAAGTTAAGTGCTGCAAATTATTTTCACCTTGCCAAAAATCCTCTTTTGTAACTTCCTTATTTCATAACCACCTAAATACCAGGGCACAAATGAAGCCAGAAGATTTGATGTGCTGCCTTGCTAGGGCTTTTTGCGCATCTCAGGGGACTGCAAATCTCAGTACCACTGGTTCAGAGGAACCTTCTGCCTCAATCATCAGCAGGTTTGTATACAACACTACTTATCATCTACCAAATTACCGTACATAGTGTGACATTCCAAAACATTTCAATTTTGATTCTCATTGCTGTACCTCAAATCTCACTCAGGATAACTCAGTTTCTGGACTTCACCTATCATCTAGCATTAAAAGAAAAAGAACACATTTTGGGAAATGAAACTGTTTCCATCCTCATGTGAAAGCATGGGGAGGCACCTATTCAGCTAGGCCCACCAGAAAGAACCAATCTCAATCACTGAACTTGGATGAGGTTAGCTTTTTTTAACACACCCGCACTGAGTGCTGACTTTCCACCCTTTCACTGGAGGGCGGAAACTGTTCCTGTTTAAAAAAAACATGTTCATTCTGAATACTATATGATGGGCCAGTCCAGAAACTGCAATACAACCTTTCACAACTGACTCCAACATAATAGTCGCGTAATAATGGTTCATGCTTCCAAAACTACCAAACTGATAAAACACATTACTTTAAAAGTGTGTTCTGTGTCATACAAAAGGAGCAGAAATGTGTTACAAAATATCTGCAAAATCTTACTGATCTACATAAATGGCAACCAGAAACCCATACACACACAAAATAGGACTGACTATATTGTGTGAGATCAACATCTTACCTGACAGAATTTATTATATGTTAAAAGGTACCTTCCTTAAAGCACTCTCCTTGCAAAACACATATACTGATCTCAAGAAGCTTGCCATTTCCAAGCATCTCTACTCTTCTTCTATGGCAACTTTCAACTGGAGGTATATTCTGAAATATCTTCTCTGCCACCTTGCAGTGTCTATGAGATGTTCGTAAAGAACAGAAATCCGGCATGCAACTGTTTCAAGAGCAGCATAACAATTTGGACCTATTCTTTGTGGCAGAGCTAAATCTGACTTGCACACCACTGCTATATGAACTACATGTCTCAGTAAGATCTATCTTCCCACAGTTCATATGATACCATATAGTCTGGTGGAAGGTGAGTGTTCATAGGACTATGTGACGTCACATCCCAGAAGATAGTACTCCCCATGGTCGGCGCAGGGAGAACCTACAAGCCAACAGGAAAACTGCCAACCACTGACACTTCCATGGGTCATCTTAAAAGAGGTCTTCTCTAGTCTTCTTCATCTTCTCACAAGCATTCGTTTTGTATATGTGTCCATTTCTTCGCTCTTCTCTTCTGTACATCTTCCGTCAAATGGTCTTCTCCAGTCTGACCTTGATGATGATCTTTCTCTTATTTTTATCATTTATGCTCTCAAAGGAAACAGACATGATGATGATGATAAGAAATGAACTTCTGGAAATGGTAATGGACAGGTGAGTGGACTGCACATACAAAGAAACAGTGAAACAAAACAAGAAGGAAAATGTTATTTTAAAGGCAGGAAATGAAATGTTTCAGATGAGGAACGAGAGGATAGAGAAGGCCAAAGAAACTAATTCAGTAGATACCGAGTGGGAAATATTGCAGATCAAAAGTTCATTGGATAAAAGAAGCTAGAATAATTAACAATTGTGTGTGTGTGGGGGGGGGGCTGTTAAAATATAAGAAAACACAGAACTGGATCATTGCTCTCCTTTTGATTGCAACATAGCTCTCAAGGGAGGGACAGTGTATGTCCTTTCCTCTATGACCACAGCTGGAAGCATTATGAGATGAAAAATCACTGCCTTCTAGGACTGTGATAGTGTGCAGTCTAGTAAATCAGAGGAACTTGATATCTGCACCTTCAGGACAGAAGGGTAAAGTTCACTCTTCTGCTCTGAAGATGCAGGTAGTATATTTCTCCAAAATGCTGGTAACAGTCTACCAGACTATACGTAGCCACATCCCAGAAGACAGTGGCCCTCACAGTCACTGCCATAAGACCCTCAAATCTTGCAATACAAGAAGATTCTATACATGACATGTCTGCCAAGATTAAATAAGCCCTTTGGTGTCCATTCTCAAGTATAACTGCACTGGAAAGCACAACCACAGAGGCTTGGCCCTTTGAGATCCTGATGTACAACTGTGCATATATGGACATTGAAGATGAGGAGAACGGGGAAAACAAAAGAAGAAAAATGGTGAAGAAGACAATGCACATGGTGTGAAAAAGAGGACTGGAAAGGCAAAGAAAAGGATGAAAATGGGAGAGGAGATTATATAACAAAGTTCTTGCATTAATGTAATCTCCATCTGACAGTCCTAATGTTCAAAAAACCATCATCTCACAAAACTGACAGCTTCCTGAGGACTTTGGGTTCAAAAAAATTATCAGAAAAGCTATGATTCAATGGTACTATTAGAATTAAATTGTAAGAAAATTCCAGGCCAAAATTCACTGACCATATCACGTACATAAGGAAATCCATTAAAATCAGGATGATGCCCTTCCATTTCTCACATGGTAATTAACCAAAAATATTTAGAATAAAGAAAAAATAATCAAATCTGAAATGGCAAGTGTGGAGCCATATTGACGTTCTGATTTTTGTTTCAAGTTAGGCGCCAATTTTGATATTATACTGCACATCACTGCTAAATCACCAATACACCATAAGCACACATACCCAAACTGCATGATTAATTACTTATATAACATATTGTAATCTGACAGTTGTTACAACTGAGGTAATGAAATTAATATGCAGAAAGTAGGATATGAAAATGTATAAATGTGTTGTTAATGGCATGACCTAAGTGCAGAGAGTGAACAGTAATCCCTTACCACTTCAACATGTCACATTTAAGAACTTATCACCTGAAGCAGGGAGGAATCCCCATTACACATTAAGGATTTACATTCAAGGAGTTCATGGTAACTTCAAATGTGCAGACTGATTTTTGGAGGGATGTGCATTCTTTTTTTGGTAACTGCAATTTCAAAGAAGGGAAAGAGAGTACTGAGAATTTGGCACAAAGGTAACAAAAATATTAAGAATTTGGCACTACAGAAACAATAATACTGATAATTTGAAACACAGGGAACCATGGGGAAGTTATCCTTGGAAATAACAAGAGTTTCAAATAACTGGGTTCATAATGAAAAGAATCCAAACTAAAGGAAACCCAGTACTGAGAATTTAGCATGTAAGGAACAGTATTTAACGTTTGGTACAAACGGAACAGTATTAAGAATTTGGTACATAAGAAACAATATTGATAATCTGGAACACTGGGAACCATGGTGAAGTTTCATTTGGAAATAAGAATTTGGAATAAAAGGAACAACAGTACTGAGAATCTGGTGCAAAGGGAACAACATTATTATGAATTGATATAACAGAAACAATGCACAGAATTTGGAACAAGGGTACCATGGTGAAATTCTGTTTGGAAACAGCAAAAATTTGAAATAAAAGGAACCATGACAATAAGAATTTGGAATAAAAGGAATCAGTAATGTTTCCATCAAGGGTAATGATTATCACAGCTCCTGAACTGTTGTTCATATGATTGATGCACATCCTGTTGAATTATACCGTCGAATTTCATGCGGAATGTCAGACTTTGTAGTAAGAACTATTCTGAGCCTGTGGCTTGCAGGTGACTGGCACAGAAAACAGTGTGACTAATAACTGCAATAAAACACAAAAGCAAAGTGTTATAATTATATTTCCCCAGAGCCCAAGAAAAAAAAATTCTTCATGTGAATATTATAGAATTTCAATTAACATGCATGTGCATGAGTAGTCCAGTATGAAGACCTTGCTCTTGAGTTTTCTGAATACCACAGCATAAATTTAATTTGCCATCTTGGTTCTCTCTCAAAAAATGATTTTCATTTATACTTCTGCCACGCTCATCACAGCTATGACAATATAATACCTGATCTAAGTCAGTTTTTTAATGTTTCAGACCCTTATTAAAATTTGAAAAAAAAAAAAAAAAACAGTTCATCTCCAAAAGCAAACGTAATAATTATCTAAGGTAGTTTTATAATTATGAATAAATAATATAAAATTTGGGAACCTAAGGCAGAGTACACACCTAACATAGCATAACTAATTAAATTCAAACTGACCTATGTACTGAAGGGGGCATACGGTAGGGTAGTTGGTTGAGGCCCTATGCTACAAGCCAGGTCATGGGATTGAATCCTGATGAGGTGCATTTTTTCAATTTACCTAATCCTTCCAGTCGCACTATGGAGCTGGGCTTGACTCAGCCTCTAACAGAAATGAGTACCAAGAATATTCCTGGAGGTAAAGGGCGGCCAGCGCGTAAGGCTGACAACCTCACTGCCATCTGTGAGCCGAGTGTCTAGAAAATGTGGGAACCTCAACATCTCACAAAACTACGGGCCTCCACGGCCTGTTACAGGGATACCTTTACTTTTTACTCATTTACCTATGTACTAAAGCAGAGCAATTTGAATAGGGGAATACAAAACTTCCTGAAGTTTTCTTCCAGAGGGCTGGGTGGAGAGTTGTTTGAAACAGCTTATTTTGTACTCTTCATATGAAAGTGTTATGCCACAAGAAGTGGGAAGCATTCTGAGAAAATTAATGTGTTCATTATAACTTTCCATCCTTACACACGCTAATAATATTACTCTTCATATTTTCTAGTTAATGATTGTACCCTAAGATAAAATGCACCTAGGAAATATCTGCTGAGCCTTACCCTGTGCTGAACTCCTGGTCAGAGGTTGCCTCTTCAGCCTCCTCTCCCTGTTCCTCTTCCTCTGCTGTAACAAAAGTGCATCACAAACTTATGATAAAGGTAACATTCCCAGCTTACTTAAACAACACGCCATGAATATCTATGGGAAAAATGGAGATACAGCTCCATGAATTCTTAAGCTCAGCACTTGATGAATGTGAGTGGTCACCCTCATTCCTTGGCTGCATTACCAAACATGACCAAACAAAATATACAAACAGGAAGTTCGTGGGTTCAAGTCCCGGTGAGGTCATTGGATTTTTTCAGTTGAACTAATGCTTCCAGCTGCGCTAGGCCCTGGGGTTTACTCAACCTCTAACAGAAATGAGTACCAGGAATTAATTAAATAATTTTCCTGAGAGTAAAGCGCGACTGGTGCGTAAGGCTGACAACCTTACCGCCATCTCTGAGTGGACTGTCTAGATAGTGTGGGACCCTCGTCTCACAACCCTATGGGTCTTCACGGCCTGGTACAGGGATAGCTTTACTTTATTACCCACACAGAAGTGGGTGATAATGTTAACAATAAAACCAAACATGCAATGAATGAACAACCTGAGTGAAAAATAAACTAAGACCAAGAATTACATTAAAGAGCAGCTCATGTGTCAGCTGCAGTCCCTAAAAGAAAAAAAATTCCCTATCCTTGTGGAACAAAACCAACCTACCAGGGCAGATGGCATGTGAACTGGGCTGCTTATGGGAAGCCAACAGCAGACAAGAACTGTTTTCATAACACCACAGCCAAACAAAAAGTTAGGGTTAAGCCTGCCCCCCCCCCATGAAATTACAACAAACAGTACCCTCAGGTTCAAAGAACATTGACCAGGGAAAAGATAATGGAGGTTGGGGTGTAGGGGAAAGAGGAGGCACATGCACACTGATCACGGAAGTAGAAAGCAGCTGACCAGGCAGAATTTTTTTTTCATAGTTTCTATAGGGCTAAACTTTCATGGCTAGCATTTAATTCCAAATCCTTCAATTCTTCCATACGTCACACTAGACACAACACCATCTGACAGCAAAGAGTGGATTTTAAAAGTAGCCAGCAAGGAGGCTCATACATCAATGTTGATAATAACTCTTCATATGGACATTCTCATAACAGCATTAATATAGTAGCATGACCAATGAAACTATTCTCAATATAAAGCTAATACAGTACAAACAAAAAAACAAACTCTATGGCCTGTAGTCAGCAATCAAACTATGCAGACTGAGCGACTGCCACTTATCGGCGAAGTTAGTGCCAACTTTGGAGCTAATGCAGTAGCACTTAGCAATATGGACATTCCTGAAGCAACACTACTCTCAGCATGTAAAAATGAAAAGGCTATGATCTACAATCTTTATTTTAAAATTTCTTCCATATAATGCATGTTTGATATAACACAGTAAAATAATTTCTCAACCAGTGCAAAAGAACCACAGAAAAATTAACTTTGCAGCAGTTCTGCACCTTTAATAAATGAAGATAATGGATAATGGTACGTATAAAATCTCAAAAGATCATATAAAAAAATATGTGTATTCCATGCAATATTTCTTTCCATTCTTTCTAATATTAAACTGTGTATTCTGATAAATCAGCAAAGAACAGTTTACCTGCATAGTCCTTTTTCTTGCGGCTGTAAGCTCGCTTTGATGTGACAGGAGGCTGGTCAGTCTCTCCATGCACCAAGCTGTTACGGTACATCAGTAATGGCTGCCAGTCTTCACCACGACTTGATGGCATTCCGGCAGCAATACGACGATCCAGGAAAGTCAAGCTGCAAATTTTAATTAATATTTTAATGCATAGTTCACTGAGCAGGATAGACAGGATCCCAGAAAATACTACGAGCAGTTTCTACCAAATGCTTCTCAAATGTTCTTAATTATTGTGCTTATTTACTGCGCAACCAGCCTTCCATGAAGGGTACCAACATGCAGTGAAAAGGATATGTCATAGGCTGTGGTAAACACAGTAATGAATGGGAATGATGATTATAGTTTTCTGATCTCAAAACTCAAACCGAAGTGGGAAAACTGGCAGGTTATACAGGAATGGGGTAAAGGAAATGGGTCACAGAGTATGGTAATGACCAATCAGCACCTGTGAGGATGAAAGGAGTGAATGGAGAATGTAGGCCCTGAAAAGAGACAACTACTCCAAGGCAACTAAGAAAGTGCAACTGATCTGGCAAAAAAAAAAAGGTGTACCTGTTCCAAAAAGAAAGTGAAGTCTAGGAACCTGCCAGTTACCTCATTTCAACCCTGAAGACAGAGCATATTCCTCTGATATATTAGTACCTATCTTCATCGCCTCAAATATGAACCTCTGGGGCTCCATGAAGGGCAGGGAATTTGATTAGTAGAGTAGCTATCCAGTTCTCTACAAGGAAGAATGATTTTGAAGTATACATACACAACTCGCTTGTCCTGCTTCAGCAGTTTATTGGTGAATTCTGTCAAGATCTCAAGGAATGGCAAATTTGGGGGTGGCCCAGTGGGATCTTCACTGTTCTCTAGAGGATTCACTGAAAACAAGATTCCCTCTCGGTGCAGTGCTGTGATGGCTTCACGATTTTTTACTGCATCCAAGCCAAAGGACAAAGCAAACCTCTTTGCCAGTTCCTGTACCATAAAATGCAAATGTTAAAAGATTAATTAGATTCAAATAACTGTACAAAGAGACAAATATTAGTATAAGTAATTTCAATGAATTCATAGCAGAAAGACCATTATCTGACACCTGGTTTTCCACTCTAGGAAGCAGGAGCAAAGAGAACTTCTGTTCAAATCATGCCAGATTCAAAACCTTGTAACACATTAGTCTGGGATGTGATTTTGTGTACCTTGGTAGACAGGTACCAATGCTTCAGAGTCTGATGCTATCTTGATGATGGAGGTGGCTATTTCCTCCAAAATGCTGGTACCTATCTACCAAACTACACAATATCACATTTCTGAAAACCATAATCTTTATAGCTACCACCATGAACATCTCAAATCTTATACAATGAAGGATTTCAGTTAATTTACTTGCTGGTAGATGTCAGTGGCTGTTAGTCTACAGAAAAATTGTAAGCTAGGAAACATGCCACACACACACACAAAAATGATGTCAATAAGACAAACAGGAACTTCAGTTAGGGAAGCTTAAAAGAGAAAAAAGTTGCCTGATCTTTTCAGGAATTATGACAGTTCGGACAGCACATTTATACACAAAGAAGAATGTTACCACAAAATACTGTTACATGTACACCCATTGCTAGGCAACATGTTGATAAACAAGTTCCTGCGAAGAGAGTTTCTTGGTTGGTTGCTATGTTACACAACAACATATGAGATGTGTTTTCTATGCGGTCTGCACCAAGCAACAGTAGAATAACTGGGTTATGCAAATCATTTCTAAGCAATGGCTGGGTAAACGCATTTCCGTGTATTGGACTGTGCTATGAAAGAGTTGATGTCATCCACAATAGAGACAGTGTTTTCCGTGGGGTCCATGCAAGGTTAGGGAAGCTTGAAAGAGGCAGAAGTTGCTTCATCTTTTCAGGAATAATGACAGTTGGGACAGCACGTCTATACACAAAGAAGAATGTTACCACAAAATATTGTTACATGTACACCTACTGCTAGGCAACATGTTCATAAACAAGTTCCTGTGAAGACAGTTTCTTGGTAAATAGTCCGTTGCTATGGTACACAACAGATGAGGTGTGTTTCCTATGTGGTCTGCAGCAAGCAACAGTAGAATAACAGGGTTATGCAACCCATTTCTAAGCAATGGCCGGGTAAACACATTTCTGTGTATTGGGCTGTGCTATGAAAGAGTTGATGTCATCCACACTAGAGACGGTGTTTTCCATGGGGTCCATGCAAAGTGCTTATAGGAGCAGGGAGTGACAGAATTTGTTCAGGGGCAGTTACGAATCAGTTATAAGCTGGAGGAGTGAGTAATAGAGTTTTAGTTGAGTTCTGAGGTTCCAGGGTGATTGAACAAGAAATGGCAAGATTTCACAGTGTTTTGAAGCACTAGTTTTTGTGCTGAGATCCACTGCTAGGAGCCGACGAGCGAAAACTCAGAATCCTAGTGCATGTGCAAGTGTGAATTGGAAATTGTGTACATCAGTAATAGCGTTGTATTTAAGTGTAATTAAGAGAACTTGCAACCAAAGTGCTAATAAATCCATTCATCTGAACTAGAACCCATTATTTTCATCATGCATACACCCATACATGTGACAATATCATACTTTCAAACAAACCAGATATGGAATTAAAGAAAATTTAAACAAAAATATGCCACACAGATTCCATCTGATGTCAGTTTAAAGAATACATATTTGCCGCAAAATTGTTGGTTGGTATGGGCTGGGATGCACCAAGCTAAGCTAATGTAATTGTTTCAGTTAGGATACAATTTGACAAGATAATTAATCCTAAGATGTAACACTTAATTATAACATATCTGTTCGGTATAGTGCGTGATATACATATGTCAGCAACCTTAAACCTTGTACTTAATAACTGTGCCTTCAGGTACTGGGTAGAGGCTAACAGCAACTGATTTGGAGCCGGTGCAGTGAAGAGGCAAGATGTAGAATCATCTTGTGATTTCATCTCTATGATTTAATTGACTCAGTTTATATTTTGTCGTATGTAGAACGTGCATCAAAAGAAACTGACATTGGTGAGAGATATGGTGGTATGGCTGACAAATGTAGTAGCTTGCAGCGCTCAAGATGATACGTTACATGGTCTTTTGAGCCCACTTGTGATTAGTGAAGGTTCAATCTATGGCACTGATACCAAACAAGGCTTAAGCAAATGAATTTCATATGGTTGGTGAAATGAGCTGTAACACAGCATCATATATGTTGTGATATAGGATTTGAGGTTCTCACTGGGGGTTAAGAAGATCCCCATCTTTTATGATATAAAGCCATGTGGTCCATTGAAAGTTAACCAGAGTTTCAGAGAAACATGTTGCAACATGTTCCTCTGGGACACTGGATGACTTTGAATGCACTACATTGCCTTATATCCCACAAAATAGGATGCTGCAAATATAACTGATGATCAAAGGGCAAGGCAAATTCAGAGAAAGTGACTATACTCTGATTTTATATATAATTTTGTATGAAAAGGAAAAGAAGTGAAGTACAGCACTCACCAAGAGAACTGAATCTGACACAAAAGTAAACTCACCTTCAGGCTGACAAAGTCTTCACTCTGTCTGTTTATACGAGTGCCATCTCTTTGCAGCTCTCGGAACAACATAGTCAAGCTGATTGCCATCGTCCGAGCACAGTTAGTCTTGTTGATTTCTCGAGCCTTGCCTAGTGTTGCCTTGATAATGTCGCCATAATCATTATAGTACTGAAATGCAACAAACGTTATCACAAATAATTCTTGAATATCGCAGGGCCTTCAGAAAAATGTACTGATCATAGAATATGTATTTTATGTTTTTCCATATTTATTCAAATATTTCTGCTCAAGTACAGAAATGCATGCATATCATCATGTAATGTGCCCACCGCATGTTCACATTTTAACCAAAATCAGAATGTATCCATGAACTTTTCCACTTCCCAATATCAAATTTTATCAAATTCTGTGCAGTGATTCTTGAATGACACGCAGACAGTAGACTGAAGAACATGGCAAAGCTAATAGAACACTTTTTGCAACTTTTCATTCTGAAAACACCAAGAAGCATAATACAATCAATACTGCCATCTGCCTGTGTGCAATGCTACCAACCTTGACATAATGTTTGAACACATCTGCAGCTACTTTGGTAGGCATCATGTTGTATACTATAAGCTTGCAAAATGATGCCAAAAAATTCCTTCTTTTGTGCAACTCCTCAATCTTAGAATGTTCATCCTGCTCATCTAGAACACAGAAAACACTATTATTCAGATGAAGTGTGCCCAAGAACTGGTGGCAAATGCCTGCACTACGGTTTTGCCTAGGGGAAGGAGGTTGGGAGGGAGTAAATGAAAGGTTCAACTGTCTGTAGGGCAGAATGTTAAAATAGTGATGTCCTTACATGTAATATCTACTCCCTTTCTGAAAACATCATTACATGAGATTATGAAGGATAACACTTATATATTCTAAAAATGCAGAATTAATTTGTGACCTATTCATTCAGAGAACTGCAAAACCAAAAATGATTTACACAACAAAGTACATCTGAAAGGATCACAATTAGGATACACATTTTGAGTTGCATGCTGTGACTGAATTAAACTGAACAGCGCATAGGCTGGGTCACAACTAATACCTCTACAATAGCAGTTTTCACATGAGTTCCTTCTGAAGTACAGAAATCTGTTTCTGCACATCAGGAACAAAGTCACAGTCACCCTCTACTAGCAAAACACCTCTTAATATCAAATTTCATTTAAAATCTGTTGAGTAACATCTGAAAGGAAATGTGTGGGTGTGCATATGTCTACACTGTGCACAGTTAATAAGATATGCTAAAACCAGCTTACCATCCTCCTCCATAATAAATACATAATTCTGAATGAAGTCATTAAGTTGTATCTGTAGGCTATGGTCTGGTTTGTACACCAATTCAGCCAGATGAGGATTGTTGCCCAGCTGGTCGCAGAACACCACTAGCAGGTCACACATTGTGAGGTATGCCTGAAACAATTTGAAATGTCAACGTCACAACATCCAAGTGTCACAAACATGCAGAGTTAAAGAGAAGTACATTTCTTTCCTCAACCAGCATACAGAAGGCCTGGAATACTATCACAGAAAGCAACAGGAAACAGGGGACAATACAATATAATGGGTAGGGAATAACATCACATTAAGCTGTGTCTATGTGGAATGAAAGCCCCATTTAAGGTCTGCTTGGGGAGCAGTGGATCTAAATATTAACGTGAGAAAAATCACAAATTGAGGCAATTTGTCACAAGACATAATTGACCTTGGATCATAAAACACAAAGAATGAATAGGAGAAAATGTTAGATCAAGAAGTATTAAAGTGAAGTCCATCGTGCTTCAAACATACACAGTAGCCAGTAGATGAGAAAATATAAAATTATTAATTAAACTACATTTGCCTTTAAGTATCACACCTTAAACCTACTAAAAATTTCAAATTTTATTGTAATTTAATATATTTCAAGCAGAGAACTCTTGCTCCAGATGAGTTCTTTATCTCAGGGATATGGGTGCTTCAGATATGGGAGTGGAACACACTTCGGGGTTCATGAATTACGGGGTCTCCAGAACACACCGTGTATTGCAGTCTTACTTTAAAGTTTCGTACAGTGATCAATCTTTACATTAGTCCTCCGAGCTAGCTGTTCTGTCCATCTGACTCACTACCCCTACTGTAAAACACTTCTCTGTTCCCTGTCTACATTTCAACAACCGTCCTCCTCCGCTCCCTATAACCGACTGCCCTCTCTTTACAAGTCCCCAGTGGGCATAAAACAAAACAAGAGAAACCCAGGGGTCAAGTCCGGCATCTGTCCTACATTTATATTTTTCGAGATGCCCATCATAAACCTTTTTAGGTCTTCAAGGCACACAAGCAGGGAACCAAGAACCCTCCTGGCCGGTCTCACACCATGTCAGCCCATGGCATTATGACACTAGGAGCAAACTGGAGACATTAGGGACAATAGTGACACCCTAAGCCTAAGGAAGACAATAGTTGAATTACAACTAGATGGTCCTGAGATGATATCTCACTGGAAGAGTGTCTCTCAGGGTGCGAAATGATGCATAAATTCACCATGCCTTTAATCAAATAATTTTAGCAAGGGACGTATGGTTACAGTAGGAGTTCTATATTTCTTAGCACTACAGGGGTGTGGGCCATATTTTAATTCAGGGATAGCAGTTTATCATCAAGGAATAGGGGTACTTTAAATCTCATGCTTGTATATGATTAGCATTCGTGTTGTAACTCCAAATAATGGTATTAGTGTTGAAAAAATGCATGGCTCAGCCTGTAGACTGCACAATGTGCCACCAGTAACTGCCACACAGCTGATATCAACATCTTCTAATACACAGTTTTATCGGATGGTTTCTTCCAAGTTGATTAATGAATTTCTCTTTTAAACAAATAACTATGGAAAGTGCATATCTTCACCGACATGCACTTAGGATAAAAGATTTCAGTTTCTGCTCACTTCTTCCATGTAGGTCTGGTTCTGGCCAGACATCAGAATCTCCTTCATTGTGTCCATGAACATGTGCAGCCTTGACTTCAGCTGTCGCAGTTGTTCGGAGCCATTTGCCCCATTTTCCATCACTTCTTCAAGATGACGCAGTTCCCACAGTATAGCAAAGAAACCAGTTGAAATGCAGTACCGCACTGCCTGGAAGTCAACAGACATAAAATGTTGTATTTGAGGTTTTCACAGGGATGCCTATGAAGAGTACTATGTTCTGAAACGTGACGTAGTGCATGAACAGTCTGGTAGGTGAATTTTATCAGACTGCAGAGTGTAACATCCCATAAGACAGTACTCTTAACACATACATCACTTCATGAACTTTACCATAATCAACATTAACAGCTCTATATAGTGACCCAGGGAATAGAGAGGAACTCTACATATTAACCCTTTGACGTGGTCATTTAAATTCCGTGGCCGCGGCTCCTGCGGTAATATATTCAGCCGGCCATTTAAATTTTGCTCGAAAATTATTTATTCATCATTGTTCTTAAATTCTATGAGATAGGAACATGAAACTTTCACTAAAATGATCTTAAATGGTGGTTTTATAACCTTACCTTATAATATGGGCGCCCTGTATCTCGGCCATGGAAGCAGGTTGTTTAGTATTTCAGCAGTGAATGGTACGCCTTGAAGGNAGGCTGGATGGATTAGGTCAATTGAAAAATCCAATAACCTCATCAGGAATTGAAACCAGTGATCTTGCGGCTTGCAGCACAGTGCCTCAACCAACTACACTACCACGTGCCAGACAAATACAGTACAGTTTCTATTCAATGAATAGAAAGAGTATTAGGAGCTTGGATCTGGTGCCATGTAACG